GAACCCGTGGCCTTGGTGTTATCAGCACCGCACTCTCCCAAGTGAGCCACGGGACGGCCCCATCTGTATCCTTTCTAATAGCCTTTATAATAAACCAGGAAATATAAGTGCCCGTTTCCTTGAGTTCTGTGAGCCACTCAGCAAATTGATCAAACCCAAGGGAGGGGGTTGTGGGAACCCCAGTTTATAGCCAGTCCATCAGAAGCCCAGCTAAAACAACCTGTAGCTTATGACTGGCATCCAGCTATGGGGGAAGGAGGTGAACAGTCTTGAGGACTGAGCCCTCAACCTGTGGGATCTGACGCTATCTCCAGGTAGATAGTGTCAGAATTGAATTGAATTAGAGGATACCTAGCTCGTGTCCACTGCAAAATTGGCTTGCTTGCTGGTGGAGAAATCTCCACACATTTGGTCACAGGAGTTGGTCTTTGGAGTTGATTGTTGTGCTGTGATGGCAGAGGAAAAACACTTTACTTCAGAGTGTATTTTTTTCCTTTGCATGTTTATAATCCCATACAAAATGTATTTGTTCGTATATCATATAGTATGTACATTGCTAGATGTTGTCGTGGTTCATTGAAAGTGGTAGACACTTAATAGATATTTGTTAATGTGCTGTTATTTATGTTCCCATGCAACTGAAAAAGACCAATACTAATCTAATAGTCCCTTCCACTTTCGACTCATGTAGAATGTGTCCTTTTACTTGTTGCTTCAGGCACTATTTATAGTGCTTAGTCTTGGTGATAATTTTATCCCTTTGCTTTGTCAGCTGCCTGAGCTGTATTGCATTGCACTAACATGAAATGTATGTAAGGCTGGTTTTTAAATTCTCTTAAACAAATAGATTTTGCCTGCTTCGTTTTCTTGCCTGAAGACTTCTAATATTTCGATTTTTTTCCCTATTGTCAGATAAAGTAATTACCATTAACTCTAAAAATTAATATAGAGAAACAGTGCTGTTTCTAACCTAAAGGATTCCATAACCATTGTCTGCTGTTTAGCTTGTATTTCAATATGAGTAAGTGGTGGTCCAGAAATTCACAGCGTTGTGAGCACTGAGGTGAAGTGGCTTATGAATATCTGTTAATAGCTCAGGAAGAACTAGAAAATTCCCCAGCTTCCCTTCTGGCTGCTCCAAGCTTCTTTCTTTCATGTTGACCTTGTAGTATATCTCCCAGAATTATTTAGTTTTTGGGTCTAGAACTACCTTGTACTCCTTGGACCGGATTAATGTACCTGGAACTCTTTGACATCTCATTGTAATCACAGACCTATTTATTTTA